GGGGGGGGGGAGAGTAATTCATTTTCCACCTTTTCGTGTCACGATCTCATCTTATCCGGCACAAAATTAGGTCAGAATCTTCTTACGCAGAATTTGTTTACGCGAGATAATTGGCCGGTAATATTATCAGTTCCGCCACGGGGCGCAAAGCTTATCGAAAATTCTCCATCGCTGAAAATTCCGTACATGCTATATTTGATTCGCTAGCGAGCGCTAACGTGGTAATCTCGCCCGACATCGATTCCAATAACTCGCACGTCAAGCAATATAACGTCATGACGAAACGAGAGATTGATCGATTCCTCATCACAAACGAGGCTTCATGTGTTCACCATTCCGGTAGATAATGCCGTTTTATTTATTTGCAATCCCCAGCAAGTACCATCTCTCACATACAAGTTGATGACATTACTATAACTATGTAACTAAAAGTGAAAATGTATTTCTTTTTCTTGTAACTTTAAAAGGGGAAGCGTCATGGCTAGATTCGCGAAGTTAACACGTCTATGAAAAGTGCTGCTGTCATTATTTTTGTTATTAACAGATCGGCGTCTTAATTTTACAATCTACATTTATGTGAATGTATAAAGTTACACGACATTCTATTAATATAAAAAAAAATAATGACAGTTCCAGTAGCACTTTTTATAGTTATGCAGTTTCTTATAAAAATAAAAAAGAGCTTCCATTTTGTTGTACTAAAAACCAAAATTGATGAAAAAGTAGCAGTCGGAATGTTTTTTCCAAGTACCGTGATGTCTTGCACATTTAAAATCTATTAAAATTGTTGCAATTTTGTTTTTAAATTACACATATTAATACAACTTGAGAAGTGTACTTCATCTGAGAAGAATCGATGTTGATACTTGCCGTCTATCTCTGTTACTGCATTAAAATCTTATTGTTAGTAATATATTCTTTGAATACCGCAATATTGTTGTCGACCTCTATATAATTTCTGTATTTTTCATTTCACACATTTACGCAGTTATATCAAATCTTCTATTATTTCATTCGACATCTTCCATCACCTTTAGCGAATTTATCAAGGGGCAGAATAAATCTGTCCATCTATCTGCATTCGGCGGGCTACGAGAAAGGGAATTCGCATAAATCGCATTTGCGCGGCGACAGCGGAATCGGTATGCAAAGGCCAACTATGCGGTTCGGCGTCAGGAGCTGGGAGCGAGAACCAGGAACGCAGGATGCAGAGTCGACAGTGTTTGACCCATCGTCCTGGATCCGGCATGGTCGGAAGCCTTCGAGCTCGGCAACTATGGCATTTCATGTCGGTCGCGCGTATCATAAATTAACGGAAGACATAACGGGTGTACGCGATACGCATATACGCGCGACAAGCGCAATAAAACTATGCACGGTAGAAGTATAGAGATAGCGCGAGTCTCTCGTCTGACCAAACTCGAATGTATCTACTTACGAGGCTTTGCTTCCCGCGCCATTCCGTCTTTCGTCTCTCTCTCCCTCTCCTTCTCTTTCCTTTTCACTGAGAACACACCCTTATCTATGGACTACCTCCTCCTTATCTGCTCGGATATCACTGCAAGTTCTCGAACAAGGGACATCTTCAGGTCGCCGAAACTTCCGCAACAACTCGTACTCGTCCGGCAGGACCCACCGAGCGAGATCCTTACGGAAACTACGAAGTGAGTTGGATAAGGATCCAGGGAAGCGAATCTCAGAGAGAACGTAGAGAGAGAGAGATAATAGTTATAGTAGTAGAACAGTAGACAGATATATCGGTCCCTCGGAATCCAAGCGATGGCGCACTTAATGAAAGACTGAACAGAAATTGAAGTAAGCATTAAGGATATATGGTACAATGTATAGAGTATTGCTGTAGCGATTTCACGTTTGTAATATTTAACGTTTCAAACTTTAAACCCCCCTTTGCTCTATTAGGACGACTATAGTGGCAAACTCGGTTAATTTTAACCCGATTAATTCAATTTTCCGTGTATTGCGTAATGTGTCCCCGTGTTTACTTGTTCGCGTCATTAAACCTTAATTAAAGCTTAATTAATTCCAACCTTCGATGCAAACTTAGCTTTCGATACCGCGACATTCAATTTGTCCGGCAATATTGGACGGGAACGAGAGCATTTCTGCACAGGATAGCCACATTTAGGGCATCGTCTGCAGTACCGCCGCGTTTGTAACGCATGCGAACCGTTATACTACATGCGCACGTGTTCATGTGCTTTTCGAGTAATGCGTATCGACCTCTTACTCGAAGGATGCAAATATTTACACGTCGCTGGGTCCGGGTGTCCAATTATCTCAGCTCGAGGCGTTTTATCTCGCACGCTAACTTTGCAACGATATGCAAAGCGACTCTATTAATTCCTTCGTATACGAGAAGGAAGGAACGACGCTCGCTCGGAGCGCACGCTCGAAAGTTGTATCTGATGTGGCGTCGTATATCGCGCTCGCTATAGTCTGAATTTAGATCTCGCGTACGGCTTTGTAATTTATTCTATTACATGTGCCATTGGAAACCGCGACAGCGATATCAGCTTACGAGTCGCTGTCTCGTGCACGTGCGTTACATCTGTCAAAAGACAGCAGTTGGTTTGCGCAGCGATTAATTATGCTTTTCGCAGTGAACGATCTCACTTTTATTTGGTTTACGCTTCGCGATTTCCATAGTGCTTTTATTAATTCCCGACGTATAAAAAGGCTTTGTCACTTTACGATAGCTTATTAACTGGAATTAACATTTTACTGAAAATTGCTTTCTTGGTAAGTCACCCTGCGCAGCAATGCGTTTAAGATTCTTTTAGTTTATATAGAAACGTGATTGAAAGCCCTGATATTTTGCTAATTATCGATACGTCAACAATAAGGTGTAACAAGTAATCCTAAGCGAGTACACAAAGGTAAAATCATTCGTGATTCTCACGGGTGGATTTTGTCTCTCAACTGCCATCTCGTTTTCCTTTGTAGATGACGCTACAAGTATCGTGGGTACGGCACAGAGACGTCCATTTGCTCACAATTGGCCGTTACACGTACACGAACGACCAGCGATTTCGAGCAATCCACAACGCTCATTCGGACGACTGGACACTTCAAATAAAGTATCCGCAGCATCGGGACAGCGGTATTTACGAGTGCCAGGTTTCCACGACGCCCCACATGAGTCATCTAGTCCATTTAAATGTAATCGGTAAGTCAATTCGATATACTTTTGCATTGAACGGCTAATTAATAAGCGCGCGTGAAGAGTCGAAAATTCCTATTCTCACCTGATTAATTATATCGATGGATTTGTGAGACGTCACGATTGCGTGCCACGGAATAGGGTTCAACCTCCTCCCGCGCGCGATATCCCGCGGTTAGGTTTCTATCAAATATTAGTATGCGGGGAGCATGCGGGAATCCTGCCTAATTACGAGACGGTGTACGCAACAATTAGTTAATTCTAATCTGAATCTGCCCCAGTTACGTAGCGACTGCGCGAAATTTAAGCCAAGCTTAAATTCTGGCGGAGCGCCAATTGAACACCTGGGATTGGTTGATACCGATGTCGAGCTAAGCTCTTCTTTCAGAGATAGGGCCGCCCGCGCTTTCCCATTACCGCGAAATTATCCGCGCGCGGACTTAAATTTGATAACGGCATCCCTCAACTTTTTCGCTTTCCTTTATCGCCGTTATCCATTTCGTCGCATCGCGCGCGGAGAGATAAATTCGGGGAGATACGTGCCAACGTGTCGAAGAGAGAGAGAGAGAGAGAGAGAGAGAGAGAGAGTTCGCTTCTCGAGTTTGCATAAGTAATTACTCCCCGATAATCGAACGCACGTACGTCAGCGCGGAGGGAACGCAAAACGATTCGCATACATCATTCGCGCGCGATGCGGTAGACCCGCGATTTTAATCATGCACCGGTATACCCCCCCTCCCCCCCCCCCCTCCCAAGTACTAGCGCGAAAAGAAGTTTGCCGACCGGATCGTTTGAAGAGCAAACTTTTATACCAGGCCATATCGCACGTACGGCTTGCTACGAAAAACTTTCGTGATCGCTTAAACGTCAGACCGGAAATTTATCTACCATGGTACGCGGCGAATTGATTTAAATCGTCCCGAGGGCGCGGCGGCGCGTCTTCACGCGTCTCTCTCCGCGTTTTTCCCAGCGCCGCCGTCATCGTCGTCGTCGTCGTCGTCGTCTCGATCGTCATCGTAATCGAGCTCGCGAATTTCCTCTTCGAGCCTCACTGGCGAGAGAGAACTGCCTCTTAAAATTTCACTTACATTAAGACGGAGGGGAGGAGCGAAGGGACGGGATTTCTATCGTCCTTCCTCTTTCTTTCTCCGACGCGCCTGTTATATTCCCCTCGGAAGTGATCTCGGTGGAGAAATACACGGGACGTAACCCCGCTGGCGAGAGGTGGGTTGAGAGAACGGATCGTTTATCATTTCTAGCCCTGACCCTTAACGTAACGGTTGAACAAATGATTCTAAAGAGTAACGACTATACACACCTGCCTGCCCAAGAAGGATCGCCCTCCTCCAGGGAGCATTGTGCTTTTCTTCCATAGTAACGTAATTACTCATCATTCGAGGAGTAAGATAGGTATGTTCGGAAGCACACATTTACAACAGATACAATAAATCCGCACTTTACGCTGATAAAATCCTCCTCGGCGTAATTGCGCGTCGTTCTATTAATCGAATATTGTTGATAAATAATATTGCGAGCCTGGCTTACGTTCTTGTCGGACTCTTCGCTCCTATTACAGTTAACACCATCATCCGATTCTATTATTTTACACGATCTTTCTATATAGAATTAACACAGAAGTAGAGATGATCATAAAAATACTTTCTTATATCGAATCGATAACTATCGGTTTCAAGAAGCGATAACCAATAAATTTCGCGACTTACCTCATATAATCGGATCAATGAGCTTATATGACAATCGAAAATTTAAACCACTTATACGTTTACAGGTTATTAAGTACCCTTGTGTGTTTTTTAGTTCACGAACGGTGAAAAAAATATATAAAGCGCTATAAATTTTTACGATAAAATAATAAAAACTTTGTCTCTTCTCACTTAGCTGAATTATGTTAAAAATATTATTAAGTAGTCTTCGCGTTCGATTCTTCATTATTATTCCTATAAATTAATTAGTATTACGTGTATATATTATGTGCTATAATTATATGAGAAAAATGTATTTTCTTTGTGCAAAAAAGAGTCAAAGTTTTTGCATTTCATATTTTATACATCAAGTTAATATTATTCTTTTGTGCGAAGCAGTTTTATAACTGCAAAAATTATTGCGAAAGTTCTTACCTAAAGTTAGATAAAGATTATCGCGTTCCTTAATCGTAAGCCTTACTATAATTGTTTATATTAATTAATATTCTTTCTGAGAATATTATATTAACAATGCAATTTCATGATAAATATCTCGAACAAATATCAGTGAAACTATAGCGCGTAGGAAAATCGGTAAGCTGATTATGTAGTCGAGAACTTGTGGGTATCGCCATTTAAATGAATACCGAACTTTCGTGGCACCAAACCATCCGCAAATATTTCCGTTTCCTGGGACATCCTTGGCTTAAGCTGTGCTGCCGGTATTTACATTCACTTACCGTCTCACTCTCGGGGCTTTCACGCGATGTCTTTTGCGGTGATTGTATTTGTTCGCTTGTTTTCCAAGCGCAACTTCCTGCGCTGATATTCGCCATTAACATTTTTCAAAGAACGCCCGTGAAGGACTGACTAATTGGTAGTTTTTAACGCATTGTATTTGAAAAATATGCGTTTTCATCATGCCTTGAATACACGAAGCGTGATGGAGAATGCAAAACAGCGTTACCTCGCTTTTCCATCCGAATTATACAGTTGCGTGTCTGTGTGTTGAAATACACGACGGTGATGTAACGGGGTTTATTTTTCTAAGTCAAAGCACAATAGATTCCGCGGTGCGATTTACGAGTTCACCGTTTACATTCTTCAAGATTTCGTTTAACCATTGTAAATAAAATTGCTCGACGACTGCAGATATTTTTCTCGTTAAAGCACCGCGCGGCGGGGTGTCAGCCTCTCTCTCTCTCTCTCTCTACTTTTTTTCGTCCAATTTTCCGTTGAAAAATTATTTCCCAAGCTTACGCTGCGATCGTAAAACGTCTTTATCACTGCGTCTACTTATACATATCGCTTGTCTTCAAATTGTTTTTTATTTATAATGAGCTAAAGTTTCGCGATATCGATACTTGAAAAGCACCTGATAACGTCTGTAAACATTCAACGGTGACGCTTTCAATTTTTCTTATTATCATGGCACGTTTTTTTTTTTTTTTTTTTCAATTTAAACTGTGCATTATTTTTTTGACTATTCTTCAATATTTTTTTTATTAATTAATAATTATAGAATAAAAACGTAAATACTTGGCTGCATGAAGTACGACGAGAATTGATTACATGTAATATCCAATTCTTTAATAACGGTATTTTTCTTCAGAGATACGTTATTGCATTCATTTTGTGTAACTACTAACGTATCTGATGCTACGCATATCTTCCAATCATGAAGGAGGTAACGACTTGGCACCACTGGCCTTTATTAACGCGTTAAGCTTTACGTTCTCCAGATAGACACGTCGCACTGCGGTGGTTAGTATCACCTCGTATCTCAACCCGCCCCCGCTCTCCGGCTATAAATGCCTTTCTCTCCGGTAATGCGGCTCGCAAATTTGCAATATCCATGCTTTCTTGTTACTCCTCTACTATCCCTACTCCAGTCGTTTTCTCCTTCGTCACTTCTGCCTTTACGAGCGCGTAAACGCTCGTAACGATACCATCGTGAACCGACCATGAACCACTTTTGCACAGATTGGAATATTTCATCACGTGGCACACGGCTATTCGCAGCAATTAATAATGAACAGCTGTTGCTGCTGAGATTATTATAGAACGATCAAAGTTGCCATTTAGACATGCATAACAAAGCTAATGTAAGATAGCCGGATCCTATAATACTTGATATGCCTAATGTCCCACTATACGTTAGTTGTTTAAAAAATATTATAGTTCTTTGTGTATTCTTACATGTCCATAAACGTGTCATATTAATAAACTTATCATTTTATAGAAATAACGTTGAATCACTTTATTTTTCATTTTTCTAACACTTTTTAATAAAAAGAAGAAATATATATTACTTACGAGGGAACGTTTTTAGGTGTGTAAATCGTTGATCTCGATGAAACTTGGTAGAGAGGTCAAAACTAAGTGTAATATTTTCTTTTTTGCCAAACTGTCTACTCAAGTGAGATAGTAACATTTTCGTTGATAGTAACATTACTCATTGTCAATATAAAAAAAGCGCACAACGGTTCTCCGCACGCTTTCCTAATTTTATTTCACATTATATTGCCCGACGTTTGTATTGTGTGAAGAGGTTTCATTTATATTACGTGCGTGGTGTACAAAAACTGTGTGTTTTAAACATTTTTTCACAGAATTCCATTATTCTAATGATTTTGCGTCATAAAAATAAATGAATTCATCATTATTTTCAACTAATTTCCTTTGGAGACTACTCAAGGACACTTTGATGATCTTATTTTTTTAATTTAACCAATTTTGAGAAGGTTTTTAATTTTTCTTAGAAAGAGTATTCCATGCGATATTGATTAATCCTATTAAAAGTTTAGCGTCCCCTAGCGGCTAAGAAAGGCATTTTTGGCAAAAAAGAAAGTATACTTACGGTACACTCAGTTTTCATCTCTCTAAGCGCCCATCAAGTTCCATCGAGATCAATGATTTACACCTAAAAATGTTCCCTTGTTAGATCATATTGGATATCTACTGTAATCTAAATGCTATTTGTTCTTCAAATCTTCACTGCACTCGTGTAAATACTTGAAAAAGCCTTATACAGAGTGCGTCACCAAAACCCGGACAAATCGAACGATTTCTTTAAACAAAATGTTTTTAATGAAAAATTAAGTATTACAAAAAATCCTTTTACGTGGCACTTGGGGGATCTCTATAGAGCACAATTATTCGATATATTTCTCGGAAAGCCAACAACGTCCTCTGGCGGAGGTACAATATAGCGGAAAATTTAAATTGAAATTTGTCCCGATTTTAGTGACGCACCCTGTATATCTTCTTAATTTTCAGAAATGTTTCCTCTTTTGAGAAAAT